TGTCTTGCTGCTCATTCGTAAGATTATAATATATGCTTACTGAACACCTTATAAAAATGTGGCAATCTTTTGCTGAACTTGCGCCCTTACGACTGTAATCACTGCGAATAAAATAAATATACTTGTGTACAAGCACTCCAGAACTTTCTCCGGCACAACGCATTGCTTGGCAGGGATGTCCTTCAGTTTATCGAAGCGCATCTATGACACGCAATGCGTCTAATTTTTCAGCATGTGCTATCATTGGGCTGTGGTGCAGAGATTAGGCTACAGCTGTCGCTGCAGCTATTACTCCGGCTGACCACGAGAGCATGTACACCACGAAAACGAGCACGCACTTTTTGTGTCTTGGTATTGAAACACCGTTCTCAACGTAAAACAGCTATTTCCGGGATTAGCTGCAGTGTCACGCCATTTTGCGAAGCAACTCGCAAAGACGATGGTCAGACTATGCCACAAAAATGCCATTTTACCTTTTAAAGTGATCAAGATAACCTGGAATTATTTAGTAGCGTTAAAACATATACTTGTAGAAGTGAAATATGTGCTCCAGTGAACTTCATTAAACTGAATTACGTGAGTATTGTGATCACTGGTGTTATGGTGTTGATTTCAAAAACGTTCGATACAAGTAAATGAAAGTTCGTTCAATTTGTAATTTACTGTATTACATAATAAAATGAGCCTTCTGCATAAGGAAGTGTAAACAGGCCTGCTTAAGAGCGTATAAATACATCAGCGTCACGAGTGTGGTATTTCTCTTCACTCGTCAGAGGTCAGTATGTGTAACATAGTGACGCGTTATTATTGAGTCAGACTCTTGGTGATCGCACACAGGGTTCATGAAAACGCAAATGCAGCTACGAGCAAGAAACCCAACAATCAGCCTAAGTATGAAGCATTTGATTCCCTCGCCATTATATGAACCGAAGGACAGATTGTATAGCAGAACCACATGTCTGGGAAATGCGTTTTGATCATCAGAAATGAAAAACTGGCTAAGCCAAATTTTACGCAGGATCAAAGGAAGCGCGGGTAGTTCTTAGCTGCGTACGGCTGGTAGCCTTCTTTTAGTACCTATAGAAGTTAGGCCGAACCAGAGAACATGCAGTCAGTGCATCCTCTAAGGAAACAAAGCCTCACTGCCCCGCTGTGGTGGTCTAGTGGCTAAGGTACTCGAAAGCTGACCCGCAAGTCGCGGGTTGGAATCACGGCTGCGGTGGCTGCATTTCCGATGGAGGCAAGAAAGTTGAAGGCCCGTGTGTTGAGATTTAGGTGCACGTTAAAGAACCCCAAGTGGTTGAAATTTCCGGAGCTTCCTACTACAGTATCTCATAATAATATGGTGGTTTCGGGACGTTAAACTCTACATATCAATCAACAAAACCTCACTGTTTACAACTTCGTTACATTGTTTCATTGCAGTGACTTGACATGCCTGTGAGTGAACCTAACCACCTCTCGCCTATAGAGACCCTGACTGTCAAGCTTTGTTTTGCTTCCTAATTAATACAATACCTTGTGGGAACTTGCCCGCCGTATCCAATTTTTCCTGCTCGCAATGTTCATTTGAAAGTTTCGCTGAGTAGGACCACCAAGCTTTGCTTCGCAACATTTGATAATGGCATTTGATAATGAAGTTATAGCAAAAAAATTGCCCGCAGCTTCCCTCGGGGGAACACTGAGGAGAATGCGGAGCATATAATTGGTTAACGGGGTGTTAATTGGGCGTGGCATACTGCTTGGCGCGCCACGCCGCTACCTCGGCGCGCTTGCGCTCGCGGGCAGCATCTGGATCGGCCTCTCGTCGCCGACGCTTGCACTCGGCTTCCCGTTTTCGAAAGTCCGGGTCCTTTTGTCGATCCTTACGTTTCAAAGCGGCCGAATCCGGTGCTGCTGCTCGACGCTGACGTCTCTCAGCGGCTTCACGTTCTCTAAGTTGAGAATCTTCCGCTCGACGCCGACGTTTACGTTCGGCGTCACGAGCTCTTCTCCGCGCTGCCTTGTCTTCGGACGACGACTTGGTTGCGGTTCCGCCAACACTTTGGCCGGCGCTGGTCGAAGGGACGTCGATCATTGCGACCTCGGACGTCGACGCGCCGTACAAACCAACCGACGAGCGGCAACTGAGCGAGCGAGCACCGACCTTGAATATATATACAGCGCGACGGCGCATGCACTGTCAGCTGTCGAATGTTCGAGAAGGGGGAGAAGCGCAACGGCGCATGCGCGCGCGTCAGCTGCCGATGTTCTCGAAGCGCGACGGCGCATGCGCGCGCGTCAGCTGCCGATGTTCTCGAAGCGTGACGGCGCATGCGCGCTACATTATACAGCTAGCGAATGTTCGTGAAGAGGAGAAGCGCACGCGGTGTGTAGAGGAGGAAGGGTGCACAGATGGTGGAGGAGTGAAGCGCGCGCGGTGTGTAGAGGAGGAAGGGATGCACAGATGGTGGAAGAAGTAGGAGGAAGCTTGCGGACGGCGCCGCACTACAATCCTCGAGTATTAGATGCTCCGCATCTAAAAAGTGACAGAAGTAGCCATTTGAAGGTTTTTTTTTTTATCTGAAGCTACAGCTTAGCCGAGTAGCTCGCCATACTGGCTGATATCTAAGCGTTTTGCTGGCTTTTAGGAATTGGGACGTGGTAGTGACCATTCCTGAAAGGAGCTCCTTTAAAGATGACAGTCTTTTCTGGTGACCTTAGACGCAAAAATTTTGGTCTGTCTTTCTGTGTCTCTGTATGTATATTTGTGTGGTTGTCCGCCCTTAACGGTTCCCTAAACGACACCAAAGTGGCCAAACAATACTGCAAACGGCTGACCCCATCCACAGCACCCATCAATATTGCTCAAGATTCAGCGTTCATACTTGTGTGATTGTCAATTCAAAAGGAATTATTGCGAATATCCGAGGCACCATAACAACACGTCAATATTCTGTATGTGTGTATTTTACTAGAAAAAGCATACATAAGTAAATATAAGGACCATAGTGTTTATCACGTTGCGCTGACCAGGCAACGCTTGCAAGAAAAGGCAAGTGTTTCGAACGTTTTGCTAAGACGACACGGTGGAGGCACCTACCCGTCGCCTTGCGTTCTACAGCTTATCACTTCTGAGACAGGTGGGCAGGGCGCGCGCGCTTCGATTTCCAAAATAACTGCCGAATAGCGCTCATGCCTCACGTGTGACGTAACTTGCTGCACTCGTTCGCCTCCGCTGCATGCTCGAGGCACGCTTGAGGCGCGCTCAAGCGCGTCCAGAATACCATTCACCAATTTTCTTGCGCAGAACATTAGATAAAGCGTTTTGTTTACTCTTTCCAGACGCAAAACTATCGTCTTTCGACGGCATTTGCAGTGTAACATGCAGATTCGGGGCCAATTTTTTTTTGTTGAGATGGTGCTTACATTGCTGAAGCACACTTGACTGTGGCACAAAATATATTACATCAAAAAAAGGCGAGTAGAAAAGTATATAGAGAAGGGCCGAATTACCAAATTTTCAATGACAGTCCGAGAAGCGCACAGCAAAAAAAGAAGACATTTGCGTGCGTGTGTAAATAGTCAGCACATGACGTGTGGTTATATGGTGAAGATGACATATTACTAAAAAATGTACTTCTGGCGAATACGAAGTTATGGGTGTGTCCCTGACACAATCAAATCCTTTTTTTTTTTTGATAAAGAGAGCTTCCAACAACAATCTAGCAGTCAGTTTGCTTCTTCTTTTTACTCTTGTGCTCCCCTCGTTTTCACAAAATCTATTTCGCGCCACAGTCAAGTGGTCTTCACAATATAAATACGCCTAATTTTGTTCAAATGAGATCATCTCTTTACATTGGCTTGGAATAAATAACTACGCATGAAACAGTGCGGCAAAGCGCCGGCTATCTAGCAATAAGACGCATTCGAAGGACTTGAATGGACTTGATGCTATACGTATTCCAAGCGTCAGAACCGAAGCGTCCTATTGAAGAACGTTCCTTAGATATGTGAAGTGTTTGAGCACTTGGGTAGGCATAATAAGCTAATTTTGTACCAGATGGAGATGATGCCACGCACTGTCAGTATTTGTTCTAGCTGATATTGATATTGATTGATTAAAATATTGATTATGGCATTGAAGACTTGAGTATCTACACTCGCCAGCAGCATGTGCTTAAGGGCACAGCACTACTTTTGACACTACCTGAATAGAAGCGTCCTGAAGGCACCGAACCTAGTTCATTCTTACACCTGTTTTCAAATTATATTATAATAGCGTATTTGCTTTTATGTCAGCAAACCATGACGCTATTATGCGAGACGCCAACTTTGACGGCGCCAGATATTTCGGTCGTCTGGTGTTCTCACACCGCACCGTCCACGGGCCACTACCGAATCCCCTCCTCCAAAACGCGATTGCCACAGGCGATATCAAATCCGTCAACAAAGGGTCAGCAGCCTAGCGCTATAACCACTGATCCACCAAGGTGGGCTTTTTTGTATTCGAAGCATGTAACTCGCCTAAAGCAAGGTAGATTTAAGGCCCGTATTCACAAACGCTCCTCGACTGAAACTCGACTTCAAGGAATTCTTGAGGGCTTTTTTGCATTGTGATTTTTGCAACGGGAAAAGTCTCAAGGATTCCTTGAGCTTGAGTCGAGGAGCGTTTGTGAATACAGTCTTAAGACTCACGTAAGCTCGTACTACGTACATGGCACGTAGTGCCATGTACATGCTTCTCTTGCGCTGTGCAGATTCGCTCATTTTTTGTGTGGTTGCTCAATGCGTTCTGGTTTTGTGGCTCTGCACGTTTTAGATCTACACTCTTTTAGAGCAATTCACGCGCCAATTTTCTTTATTTCAAGCATGGCAGCTAAGTGCTGTAACATAGTCTTCGTCGAGAAATTGAGTTGATACTGAAAAAAACGGGCTTACAGTACAGGTCCTGCATACCATTCAATAAAGACTTTCTCCACCTGTTGACGGAACAAATGCACAAAGCTGTTCCGGGTTCCATGGTCATCTGGTACGACGCCGTCATTCGGACCGGCAAGTTGCCCAAGCAGAACGAGCTCAACTGCAAGAACGTCCAATTCTTTGATGTATGCAACGGCATCTTCCTTCACTTCAAGTGGACAAAAGACAAGCTCGAGGACTCGGCGAAGTTCGCAGGCGACCGCAAGAACGACGTCTACGTCGGCATCGACGTGTTCGCCCGAATGACAGAGTACGCAGGAGGCTTTGAAACGTGCAAGGTACGGTGCTTTCGAATGTGAACCCACTGCAAACGTGAAGCGTTGCGCTTCACCTGGATCTCGCGCCCCTAAAAACCATGCAGTTTCTGATTTTATAAAATCAATTGACTTTATACACGACAATGTCAGCAATGTTCCAGGAGACCACGAAAACAAGCCGCCTCAGAGTGTCCTGGTCATCCCGCGGTCGTCAGAGTAACGGTGGTTTCAAAAAAGAAAATCTAATTTGAATATACAGCGTATCGTACAGTGGTTCACGTACAAGAATGCGGCATGCTTACACATGTCGCGCATTTTTGAAACAAAGAAATTTTTGGTAAACACCTCAACTATGCAACCCTGTTACATCAAGGTTTTGAAACAAGGAAATGGTTTACGACAATAGTAGTACGTCAAGACACACGCTTTGTATTTCAAATAAAATTTGTAGGAATTTGAAAGGCGGTTATTCAGTAAATGAATTTAGTAATGTTGGTAGTTCGAAACATAGCACATGCTCGCCATTTTCGGTGTAGGCATGTTACTTGTAAAGGGCACCGTGGTAGTTCTCGTAAGCCAGCGTATGTGAACTTTGGGGCTTCTTTTTCAAAGTACACACCAGCTTGACTCTTTCGTTACCGCGCAAAAGTAGTTGTTTTCATATGTCTCGGGAAGATCGTTTTGCCAAAAGTACTCCAGCACGCATCAGCATTCCAAACTTTGCACAACGAAATGCTCTTTACAAAAATTTAACGTTGTAGAGCAACAAAACTATATTTAATGAATGAAAAAGCAAAAAAGTGTAGAATTTGCGGTCACAAGCTGGTAAACAGTGCAATAAAAAACTCTATATATGCAAAAATATTAGAAACAAAGAAAATTCAAAAGTCAAGTACCCAGGAACACAAAAAAATATTGAATGTTGTGCAAAAATGTTTCTAAGATAAAGAAAATCAGAACCGAGGTGCTGCTTTGTTGCTCGTGCCATTTGGTGAAGCATTGCATGGTTTTTCGTGAGACACAAGCGTACTTGAACACTTTATCGCAGTAAATGTTTATTTGGTTGCGTTAAGCGTCTCCTGGTGTTCCGATTGAGGTAGATGGATACTCGTGATGTGGATAATCTCTCTATAAATGAAATATCTCATGAACTTCGCTATTTTACGTAGCGTCATATCTTTCCATGAGCCACCTTACACCACACGGGTTGACGTTCCAATATATGCATCCGAGCATATCTCTTTGCATTTTCACGCATATCGTATCACATAAAGGACAATATCGCACGCAGTTCTGAAACACTTTACACTGCTCCACAGTAAGGGCCAATATGTGTTCCGGAGGCATTCTTGTTGTTAGGAGAAGCTCTGCAGCCAGCGCCTGCACATTGCGCCCCAGCGAAGTGCGGACCACGCACGTAACCAGAGTAGCTATAGGATTGTGCGCAAAGATCACAAGCTATAAGCACTTGCGGTAGACGAAACAACTTCAGGATGTAAACGAAACAAACCTATGAACGGCTGTGGATTTATCACGCTGACGCAAACCATCATTTTCATAAATCTTCAAGCTGAGGTGCTGTCATTCTCGAACGCTAAGCTCGTCGTCACTCAATTCAGGTGAGGTTGCAAAAGAGTTGCGAGAGCGCATGTGTTTTGCAGCGCTGATGCCCACCAATGCGCGAGTGACGACGAGGTCATAGGAGCGACTAGTGACACTAGATGCGACCCTGTGTCTGATATAAGAAAGGAAGCAAAACTGCAACTGCTGGAAACTGTCATAGAAGGTCACCTCAACACTTTAAACGTGCAGTGAACCTTCACAGATATTTTTTGTAGAACAAAGTTTTCCCGACTCCTAGGAAGAGCTTTCTATTGAATGTATGGCATAAATTTTTGGCTATGATTGCTGCTCAACATAGTCAAATGTCGAAGCTGATACTTTAATAAGTTTTTGGCTTGCAAAGGTTCTTTTCATTACAGAGCTTCTATGTTGCTGAACACTAATCATGAGGGGCACGTGCGTCTGTCAAGTTCGCCAGCCTAGTGCACTTTTTCAACAATATGCGCACACTGGTTCACGCAAAGGTCTGTTGAAAACCACTATGTTGCCGAAACAGGCCAATTTAAAGTGATTCTGAAAGTTGAGTGGCTGGACTAACTACTAGAAAGTGCTAGGTGCGTGAGAGTCAAATTTCACATGCCACAACCGATTATCTAAAAACGTCGATCACCTGTGATCAATTTGGACAGGCGTAGTAACGAAAGAGTTAATTAGGGACTGAGATGGACAAGTAATTCTTGTTTCGTGCAGTGAGAAAGCAACGTCGATTACAACGACACCGTTAATTTCACATACAAGAGATACTGCGCAATTACGGCAGTTGAAATTATATTCCGTCGCTCTGATGGATATATGTGACATGCAATACACTAACGTAAAATTATTACCAACATGCGACATTGTGTCATCTAGAATAAGCACCTTCCTTCATATATCGCCAACTCTGGTCACGTTCTGTAACACTGGGCCCGAGATATTGTCGTTGATGACAAGTGTAGAGGCCATCTTGATTCGTGCTGCAAACACCAATCGTTGTAGCAGGTACACACATTTTCTCATATCGGGCTTTTTAGACAGCTTGTGCGGAACGGTGATTTCCTGTTACCTATTTTATTTTTATGAGCATTGTTATAATAAGCAGTAAGAGATAGAAGTCACCATAGCGCGAGAGCTGAGCGTTTCCTTGTAAAGGTAAATGGAGCGAAAAAGCGTAGGAGTAGCCTTTAATTAGACGGCCCCTGCCATATCTCACGCTCTCGCTATCTCTTGGGCAACGCTTTATGTCGTAGATTAACACACCGCGGCACAGGATATAGGTACTATGTACGCGCGTAGCATCTCATTTAAATTTTAAATTTAATTTCATTCACAACTCATAAACATGTGCTGTGGGGTTGGTGTTGTGTTGTTTAGTTGATGGAGATCATGAGGTCATAAAAAATTGGGATATCCCACGTACTGTGGAAATCGATAATATGCAAAGCGCGAATGAGAAAGGTTGATATGTCACTTTAAAATAAGCACAACTTTACGAGGCGGACGTGAATTCTACCATACATAACTTTCAATCCACGATTATCACGTTTTGATGTGTCATTTAACTTCGTCGTCTATTCACGCCACGAGACACCAAATTTAGGATCATGTCACGGGATATGTGGAGCTAGCGAAACGGCTGCGAGCACGCTAAAAGCATAGCAAGTAGTCATGTTCTACATCACACGTATGAAATGATTAGCATGTTTAGACGTGTCATTTACCTTCGTCATTCACTCACGTCACGTATTACCAAATCTCATATATTTGGAGCCAGCGAAACGGCCGCGAGCATGCTATTAGCGTAGCATGTAATCATGTTTTGCATGACACACATATCATGATTATTATGTGTGGACGTGTCATGTACCTTCGTCGTCTGTTCACGTCACCTGGTGCGAAATTTTGTATGTGTGGAGCTAGCGAAATGGCCGCTTTGGGAATAGCATGTAATCATACTTCACAAGACACACATATCATGAATATCATATTTAGACGTGCAATTTACTTTCGTCATCCATTCACGTCACGTAATACCGAGTTTTTGGTATATGTGAAGCTAGCGAAAGAGCCGCGAGCGCATCATGAGTGTGGTATGTAGTCATGTTCTTACATGACACTCATGTCATGATTATGTGTGCACCAGTCATACGCCTTCGTCATCAATTGACGTAACGTAACACCAAATTTGGTATATCTGAAACTAGCAAAATGGCCGCGAGCGCATCATGAGCGTAGCTTGTAGTCATGCTCCTACATGACACGCATCTATGATTATCATGTTTGCACCATTCATGTCTTTCGTAATTCATTCACGTCCCATAATACCAAATTTGGTATATGGAAAGGTAACAAAACGACCGCGAGCCAGGACTAGACAGAGACACCCAAAAAGTATTCTGGAATACAGACATCGAAATACTTGGTTTGCAAGCCTAAAACACAGATACTGAGATACTTTTGTGATTTACGTAATGGGATATTTCAGAGATACTTTTGCAAAAAGCAAAAAAAAAGTATTCCTGAACACAGATGCAGCAGTACAGGTAATGAAATGTTTTCTCTAAGTCGTGGATAGTTATACTCCGTACAGACCTTTTCTTATGCGCAGCGTAATATGTAAATGGCGCAGTGCATCAAAACTTGCAATTCAATTTATTCATTATTTTAACACCGTACCCTGAGTGTCATTAGGGCATTAAAATGGAGGCCTACACTGCACAGAATTGTTCATAGCGACACATTTACAGATATCAGTTGCAATAAAAAAAATAGGCTGTATGAGAGCAACAGTCAAATGCATTGTGCACCGAAATCGGGATACTTGGCGGCAACAGTATTAGATATTCTGAAAGCAGCATAGTTTAAGCGAAGTGCTCGAACCATGAACAAACAAATTCAGAAAAGCTTTGCTTTTACTCGCAGCGAATAGCATGTCTCTCTGAGTAAAAAACAAAACAAAGAAAGGCTTTTCAATTCCTTGCTGCCGCTGCAATGGCGGTGCTTACTTCAACGACCTTCTACTTAGTAGACCAGTGGTTCAGGCTAGTTGGTTTCTAGTTTTGTTGAAGTGTCGTAGCGCTAAGCAGGAGGTGAACATATAAACAATGAAGACGAGCGCTTACTTAGAGTTGAAGGTTTAGTGTTTCCTAGAAACACAAAGAAAGCAGAAAGAACAACAAAGAAAACAGGGAATGCGAAAAAAAACACACAAATACCTCCTTCAAATCGCCATGCTGCCACGCTGGAGTGTTCCAGAAATGATTTGGAGAGAGAAATATCGTTGATGGCAAACTACACCACACACCAAATTCTTTGGGTTGTTTGTGGCTTCCGAAATAAGCTCTTGGTTTTGCAAATAGGTACCGCAAAAGAAGAGGGAAAATAAACGAGAAAATAAAGCACTGCTTGTTCAATTGGCA